CAAACGGCAAACGTCACCTCAGACTAATGCGTAAGACGGGCAAACCCGATTACGAAAACCATTTAGAGTGCCCTAGATGTACAGGAGTTATCCAAATAAACAATAAAAAAATAGATTAAAAAACTTTCAGATTTTCATGGTTATAACTATTTTCTAGAAACCCTCCGTAGTCAAAAGGATATTGAGCATGGGAATATTCTTCAAAACCATGACAAGGGCATTTGAACGGGGAAATTATAAAGCGAACCTTTGCAGTTTCAAGTTCCTTTCGTTTCCGTCGCAGTTCAGCCGAGCTGATAGCAAGTTGTTTCTCTGCTTCAGCCTTCTGTAAGGATCAGATTATAGACTATCCATAAATAGACTGAAGCTGAGTGAAAAGAAAGAAGAACTAAAAAATAATAAATACTTAACATCAGTAGCCGATAAAATGGAAAACTGGTTTTTTGGATTTTTTCCAAAAACCTTTCAACCAGCTCATATAGCCTTTACTACACGTTTACAGCCAAGAAAAAACAGTTTCATAAAAATAAGAAGTGAATAAGTAGAATCCTCACCTTGATGATCGCCTCCTCTTCGATCCGCTTCTTTTTCTCCATTTCACGTCGTCGTTTCATTGGATCCGTACTCATTGATGGCGATATTGTAATAGATTCACTGCGAAGCGAATTTTCTCGGGCTTTACGAACCGCCTCCTCGCGAAGTTTTAACGTCACACGACATTTTTCTACCATATCTTCACAGTCATGCTAAAACGAGTACTTTGTTTATAGTGTAATCATTACTATTTGTCTGATGATGATAGAAAATAGTTCGAAAATAGTACTTGACCATCAAAAACAACGAGTATTTACCTAATAACGTACTCACCAAAGATTTAGTAAGTTTTGTCCATTCAAGTTTCAAAGCACCACGTTGAATGTCATGCTCTTTACGTCGGGCATCAAGTGCCTGGAATGCTTCCTTCTTCGAACATTCTGATACAACACACTTTACAAGAATTACGAAAAATTTAAGGGCCGATTTTTCATAATTGTCTATCAAATACAAAATAATGAAGAAAAATAGAAACTTCTGAAAAAAAAAATTCAAAAATTATTTGAGTCGCCACAAACCTCAACGACCCGCGCCTTCAAGTGATCAGTAGTTTCCTTCGTCCGGCCTACCAGGTCGATATCGCTATCGAAACTGCTTTCGAACACATCCCGAAGGGGCATGAACGGCTAAAAATACAACTAAATACTATCATTCTCATAGATTTTGTTTTTTTTTATCTAACCACTTCTTTACATTGATTTTTCCCATCGATGACCTACTCGTAAGATAAACAATGAAACAACTCCAAGTCGAACGTGAAGAGCAAAGAAAATTCAAAATAATCTGTGACTATTGCTGGTGATAATGCGAAAAAACGATACACTTTTTTCATGTTGCATTAATCATCATCTCAGCTCCCGGCTCGAAATCCTCTTTTATCGTATAAATTCTTCGGGCGTTTCCAAAAAAGAAAGGATAGGAGTAGGTGGTAAAATATGATAGACAATGAACATTCTAGAACATGCCCCTGAATTATTTTTGTCCCATGCCCTAAGTACGGAATGAGCAAATTTGACCCTTGTGTGAGAATTGCCTTCCGCGCAGTTAATACACAGAGCACATAACTCCAATTTCCTTCAAAAAACTCATATTACTGCTTTCTTAATTTGACGGTTCCCAAAAAATCGATTGAAAATTTCAGCGCATAATAAGATCCGGGTACGTTTTTGAAAATGTTTGGTGAACGTGATTAACAGCAACATGTTCGAATGTAAATGAACATTACTAGTACTTTATCAAAGTGTCCCAAAATGGTAGAGAGAGCCCTGATGAAAGATAGTGAAACGGGGTACCGGGGAAACGGTGAATTCGAGAAAGTTGGTGTCACAAAGTTGACATGAAAATTTTCACAACATCACTCCAAATGTCTTCGGGAAGAACATTAATGCCCTAATCCCGGAGACTTTGAACTTTCAAGAAATATTGTTGTGTACCATGTTTTTGTAAAATGTTTCCCGAAGTGTCAAGTACGATAGTAGTAGTAGTAGATCTCGTACAACATTTCCCAATCCAACGCCCAACTTGCCAAAATAAACTAGTTATTGCTTACATCCTGTCCTTCTTTAGTGATCTTAATAATTTCTACAAATCTGGAATTCAGTACTGTTACCTTCGAAATGTCTCGTCTACACTGTTCGACCAGTGTTGTCACCTTTCGAGCATGATCCTGTTCCAGTTGTAGGCGGGCGCGGATGTACGATAACAGGTCTTTGGAGTAACTGAAATTATATAGGATTTCGATGTAAACTGTTGGCCATTTCAGAAGTCTTTCTTGTCAGAGATACCGTGGACGTGGAAGATGTGAGCCTTTACGAAATTAAATACGCCTGGTTCGCATTCCGCCAAAAGTTCCCGGAAATTAAATCAGAAAAGTCAAAGCAGCAAAGTACAGGCCTGGGAGTTCCGAACTTTTCTGATTGGGCGATTTAGACCAAAGCTTCTATTTTAATATTGGGATATTTCGATAAATATTAAAGGAATGCTCTGCGTTTAGGTAACGAACATGTGCACAAGTCATCTATAATTGGTTAACTATTAATGAGGGCCAATCCCAAGTCCCCCTTCCATTCGAGGTTTCCCAAAAAAGGCACTTTGAGGTTTCCTAGTTAAAAGCCAATAAAGTAAATGATTCATACTTGCTCCAAGCCTTCGTCCTTTCAAATGCTATCTCAAGCCCATCTATACGAGTATTCAATATTCGATCAAGGTCCATCAGCTGGCTGTGCTCGTCTGAAAAATGAAATCTAACATGACATGCATCAAAAATTCTAAAGAATTAAATAAAGTTCCCACCCATTCACAATTTTTACAAAACCCAATATAATACAGTAGCCAAAAAGGATCCAGGAAACTGCCGAAAGTATGGTTAACGTACCAATCCCTATACCTATACCAAAGCTGGCATAGGAAAATACTGCTAGGTGAATGGCCATGACCAGACCAGCAAACAAAGCCGAATTCACTTAGACTGGCCGTAATTTCAAGAAAGTTATCTACTTTTTTGGTAAATCAATACCGCCACCATCTAACCCATCAAACGAATTCATTTCCTTACCATTTCCGTCTATATCCTGGTAGGTGGAATGACGCCGTTGTAAAGTGGCAACCCGTTGGCACGTCGTATATACTTCAGTAGAGCTCTAAAATGTAAAAATCACAAAAAAATCGGATTCAACGATGGAAACTGGTGGGTTGAAAACAAAGAAATTTTCGCTACTCTTCCGATCTGCTTCAAAGACGGTCCGTAAAACAGTAACCCAGGGAAAAACAATCAATAGGGAGTTATAGAAGGGCGGGAGGCGTACGGGAGACGCCGTAAAACGTCCATTTAATAAAGACCCCCTCATACAACTATAATCATAACCAATTAGTATAAGCATACCCAATTAACGTACACAACACCCGTATACAAACGGATCTATGGAACGATTCACGTGTAAGTGGCTACTTAACCGATACCACCGTAGCAGCGATGTAAAAACTGTTCGATCCGAATCAAACTCCCCAGAATGCGCCATGCGCTCGTGCTGTGATCAGATTCGTTGGAGAGGCTGAGTTGTTTCTTGACTGATAATCAAGAGTAGCTAGTAGAGTAAGAGGCCAGGTCTTGTCTATAAGCAATGAGAGAAGGCACAGCTGTTCTTACTGTACCATTTCGATACCGTATTTCGCCATGAGATCGCTATATAACGATTCAGAGTAAGCCAAAGACTAAGCCAGTTCCCTTCCAATATACAATTTGCAAGACCAAACCAATCGTTAACTTTTCGTTACATGGAGCTGGTTAAAGCTAGCCGTCATCGTGTTCAGTTTCAGATCGAAAACAATCCGAATACATGACCCTAAGGAGGAAATCACGGCTTCAAGCAGAAATAAAAGGAAAAAAGACTGAAAAAGAGAACGCTTGTATTCCAGCGACGATTATTAGTATCCATACGATGATAATATGTGTTTACAGCAGCTGGGCCATCGACAAAGCCATCTCGGACATTGGCGGTCGTCGTAACTACGATGAAAATTCTCAAAGCCTGGGCTATTATGCTTGGCTCAACGACCCGTAACCGAAATGCCCAGAAATAGTCAGATTACGGTAGATAACAAAATGGAGGACGATGGCCGCTTGAATTGAACAGATCCAGGTTATCCCAACCCACAGGGAGTGGCAGATAGGTTTATGACAATCTTTACAATGCATAATTGAGTTCAACTGCACTCATAAACTCTTCGACCCAGTAGGTGGGTTCATAGGTTCGAGTAGCATATACAACCGAAAGTCAAAGTCCAGATCACTGTCCTAAAATGAAGCAGAATCTGAGTTATACTTTTCATTCAATCATTCCTAGATTGGTCAGGAATGCGTCACGGGCCGTGATTATAAAAAGCCCAGCAAAATCTATGAGAGTAATTTACAATCTACCAAAAAGTATCTGCAAGGGCCAAGACGCCAGAGCTATACTTAACTATTTTGCAAGCGTTGTATGTAAAGATCTCCATCAGAATTGTAGGACCCACCAGAGCTTTTCGTTCAGAAACGATATCACCCTTATCAAGTTCCTCTATATGCGTAGATTCTTCAAAACTGATAGAACAGCCCCTATTTATTCAGAATGAAGCCAAATTCTAGAAAAGATTCTTGCAATGTGGCATGGACGTGATCGCGATGGCAAACCAATAAGACCAAGTCACTACCTTTTTACAAAGTAGGAGAAGTTCACTCAAAACCCAAAAAATCATTCAATGGACGTCGCTTCTTGATGTGGAAGAGCCATGCATCATAGAAGTTTTTGGATATGTAATTGGACTAGGCTTGCAAATCGATGTAACAATTACTGGTAGAAAAAACGAAAACTGATCAAATAACGGCAACGGCAACGGTCAGCACCTGCGGATGCGCCATGCACGTGATCTTGCTACGGTATGACACCCTGCGACAAATGAATTCACGTTGGACCTACTCAATAAGGGGCGTCCTTATGCTTCAGTAATTTGCATGAAGACAATGGTCTGGACCGCAGCGACAGGTTTCCATTAAAAATTTGAAAGTTCAACAGGCAATTACATATTTTATTTCATTTTTGTGAGAAAAAATTATATTACTATGTGGAAGGTATGCTTTCACATAGCTACATCAATTTATCAAAGTGCTCCGTTGAAGAGATTATAATAAATTGAATGTTAAGTGCTACTACTACGAATGAGCACTGGGTAGTTGTATTTGATTAAACAGTAAAGATAATATTGTCATCAATTCAATTATTAAGCAAAATGCTTACTCATCAAAACAGCACACATAACATAAACATACCATACGAAACATTGACTCAAATGAAGGTCATACCAGTAAGAACAAAAATAATCAGAAAAGTAAACTTGAAAAATTCAATAAAAATTCACCCGTAATCGCTCGTCGGCGATGAAACACGACAGAGCAGTTTGCATGGGATTTCTCTGTCTGTTCAAGTGCACAACTGACTCTATAACTGTCTCGTAAAACATAAGAGTGGCTATGAACGTCTTTAATCGTATTTTTCAAGCCAGTTGAACTGAAATAAAGCCGTGGACATCTGGAAAAGTCCGTCGTCCTTCAAAAATTCGCGAACCGATAAAGAAAATTAAAAAGGATTGTGCAAACGGGAGCAGTAAAGGATAAATTGTTGAAATCTCAAAAAGTTGCGGAATAGCCGCTTCTCAGCGACTGACCAGTTAGCTACGGGGGGAACGTTCCAAGCCTGAATCTATTTCCAGGGAATAAGAATATTCAGTGGATTAGTGTGGAGGATTGTTTCTTGCCCTTGTACGGACCGTTTAAAAGCCATTTCCTCAACAAACAGTGGACTTTATGTGCTGTTAATCTGTCCCGGAAGCAATGAACATATCAAAGCGTGAACTCACTGTAACCGAGTTATGCTCATTTTACGCGCACATTGTAAATTTCGCTCATGCCACTCATTCCGAATGTTATTTTTGTATTTCACAAAAATCTCCGAGTAATGTTGACATCTGGAGCAGACATTAAATTAGTCGAGTACATTAAGCGCAAAAGACACAGGGAAGTGAATCGCTCGGCTCTCACGAAAACCCCAGCGCGCGCCACGCATTCCACTTTTACTCTATCTTCTCGTGGACTGCACCATCACTTATCACCTACAACTGCAGAAAAAAATAGTTTTAGCTTAAAAATTTCGAAAAAAGTAAGTTAGGACCGGTCAAGCAAGATGACACAAAAATGTCCTCAGCTTAACTTCCCGGATTTCCTCCCGAAATGTGACTTACACTTCTAGTGAGAAAGAGGCAGAAAGCTCAAGGAAGGAGCATATACCATCTCTCATTATACCTGAGCTACTTTTTTACTTGGTCTAGTCCATACTTTACAAAACGCACTCACGTTATTATACTTAATGTGGTCAGGGGGAGGCTAGTTACCAACAATAAATCAACTTGGCCTGTCACCTCGAACTCTTCGATTCGTAAGATTGAACCCAACAATTACGCCATGGAGCTCTAAAAATTGTGTCTGCATCCCTTGCCGTTCAATTATCGTTCTTTCGACATGGATGGATAGACATTTGTGTTTACGATGGCAATGTTAGTTCTTTGATAAGCAAGACACACCCTCAACTGTTCTGCTGATTAGTTTCTAACTCAATAAAAAGAACTGCTGTGTGAAAAAGAAGGAAGTTTGTTACGTCAATTAAAAAGGAAGTGCTTTTCAGTGACGTCTGAGAAGCGTCATGTCGAAACCAAAAAAAAAAAAGTTCGATGAAATGGGGTTGGAAGAAGAAACAATGACGACTCAATTTATAAAACTGTCTGGGCACCTGCTCTCTCTTGGGCTTTTGCAAACACTTGTTCTTCCAAAGTTCAGAACATATGACCTAAAGACCCCTTCCCTCAGACTATCGACTAGTCTAGCGGTTTTCAGAGCACCTCTATTCTCTCGAGTGGTCAGAAGATTCTTTTGCAACAAATTACAGTGCTACGAACAAAACCCTTCTTAAATAGCTGGTTCTAGAATGTTCTTTTAAATTCCTTCTGTTGCTTGATGCTCAAACGGTGTCATGAGAACAATGGAAGGACGTCAGTAATGAAATTGAAGAGTGGATGTTGTAGTTAGAAGGGGAATAGCAAATTTTCAAAGAATCTTGCAAAAATGTTATCATCAGAGGATGAAAAAGAAGAATTTGGATGAAATGATGATGATGAGTGAGATGATCAGAAGGAGTCACAAGAGTAGCGATATAATAGACGTTACATTTATTTTTTTATAGGAGCAAGTCCAATCGAAGGAAATCAGATTAGACTTTAAGAAAATCGTGAACTTCAACTATTAGAAGACTTGACTCTAGGCTAATATGTTTAAAAACAATCTGAATATCCAGCCTGACACACTAAATAGTTGTAGACAAAGCCAGATTTGGATCACCACACAAAAAAAGGGAACAGGACACCCCCTCAGTAGCCTTAAATGTCAGCCCAGAAATAGCAACCATTTCCTTCGTAAGGACGCCGAGGGAGAGGGAGGGTCTCTGGGATTCCGTGTTTCAAATCCAGAGCATCTTCACAAAAAAATCCATTAACGTGCCTTCTGTTACATTTTCTCACGCCACCACTGATTTGGCTGGAAAAATCGGTGTCTGAGGAAAATTCAGGCTCACATAAAAACCTCTCCTCTAAATATAAAGTCGTCGGAAAGGGCATCTATGAGTTTGAGAAGGAATATGTCTCTGCAT